TTAATCTCATATCGGATTTGATATCAATCAATTGATCAATATTATCCTTATTATCATTATCAATAAGATATTTCCTTTCGATATATGATTAGAAATAAAATAAGAAATCTCTTTATTAAGAAATCTTTCAAATCCTAAAGATTATCCAGATATCGATCATCTCCGCGATTTCCAGAATTGACAAAAAATATGAACGATTTCCCAAAGAATTTCATTATAGAGAAGAATGAGATTCCCAAATATATCGTCGTCATCGCAAATGAGAAAATTGATAAATAATTTGATTCAATGAACGAGGGCATTCGAGAAAATATCATGAGAAATCGAATATTACGTTAATCTTTTATCTTTCCCTCCGAAATCAAAATTCAATTTCTTGTTTTAGGATCCATTGTTATATCATTATTTTTCCTTCTTTCGGCGTCTACCTTCTCATCTAATTCGTGGCAGATAACGGCGAAGTTTCACGATTAGAATATAGATATCGAATCTTTTTGGCTGTCTTTTTCCTTCAGACGAATATGAAAATATCTAATTAAATTATTTATAAATCTTAAATAACGAGATTTCGTCCTTTTCTCATTAGAAATAGCTTGCCATTTTTTTGCTAATAAAATATTTGAAATAAAACACGACCTCCAATCTCAATTCAAATCAATCTCTATATATCATCATTTCAATAATGATCAAGAAAGACAATAATCATAAATATATATTTGCCTACGAGAAATATTCAATTTTTCTAGAAATATATTAGAATCATTATAGCTTATTATAAGTTAACATATACTTAATAAATATAATAAAGAATCCAATCAAATTCAATATATTTATTTCTTAAAATAATTCAATCATTCCTATATAAATAATTTTTCCCGAAAGAAATTAATCAAATAATACTTAGATTCATTTTTCGTGAAAATATCATAGAAAGAATTTAAGAATTTGAAATTTCGTTCCTTATACCTCTATCATCAAATATCAATAATGAAAATCTACTTCATTATCTCCTCAAGAAATAAATCATTAAGAAAATCTATTCAAGAATAGATATTCTATAATATGATATCTAATATTTTTTCGATCGTACTGAATATTATATATTCCCAATCTATAATAGATATCGTATCAACCTTAATTTTTCGATTTTTAAATCTCGCATATATTATCAATACTATATTTGATTCATTTTACGCTTAAGGTGCTGCTTATAATATCATCATACGACTAATTGAAAATTCGACGTCCTAAGAAAGAACGTAGTAGCAAAAACCTTACCCATAAATTAACAATTGATAAATTCAACGACAGACAGATCATCAAATCGACAGCTTGACGCCAAACAAATCGACTGACGGAGAGATAGATAAATTTGAGGGATCACGAGAGTGACAGACCGACACGCTGGCAATGCTAGATCGACAGAATGGGAGACTGACAGTATTCGACAGAAGATAGTCGGTCAGATCGACAAACTGACAGATTGACTCAGACCATGAGACCGACAGACCGACACCCTGGCTGATTGACCGTCATTCCAATTTACCGATAGACCGATAAACTAGGAGTTGGACTGACAGAACTAAGCAAATCTGCGATGGTATCTTCTGCGGGGATAAATAAAGCGGAGAGAGAGGGGGCGCGCGACCAAAAATCTCCAACATTTCTGGTCGCCCCCCCGGACCAAAAATCTCAGAGACTTCAGAGCCTCTAGCTTATCCGAAAGGCCCTGAAATCTCGGGAATCTTAGAGCCCCTTGGGCCGGGCCCTTGGGAGCGCGCAGGAGGCTTTTTAATGGAGGCCGGAAAAGCTAGGCCTACAGTTCCAACTTTAATAAATTTAGTCTTCATGCCATAACATCTCGCGGCAGAGTCGCCTTTCCAGACAATTTGCTGCAGAGTCTCTCTCTTTGTAAATTGCGATTCGGGTCGTGCGGGGTCATTCGGCTGCCGCATGTTGCAAAGCCTTCGCCGCAACTTTGCTGCAGCTTACGGAAAACATTGAATCAATCATCCCTGCCACAGAAGTAGCCAGCCTTTTTTATAGGAACTTTTTTTACTGGTTGTGGCATGGGAGAGGGCAGGTTACTTGACTCCCATTAGAGCATCTCCTCCTGTTGAACGTGCATTGTGCGAAGTATCAAAACATCTCGGGCATCAATCTAGCACAGCGCTGTGCAAGTAGACAAACAGAGGATCATGCTCCTGAGAATGCACGGTGAAACAGTACTGCCTGCAGGCAGTGCTCTAAATCATTACCGCTCTTTGCGTTGCGTGCTGTGGCTGCGCAGCCGCATCTCCAAAAGAAGGAAAGCACACTGGCTCTGAGCAGATCGCGCCAGGTGCTTCCAACGAGTATTGGGCAGGCGCATGTTCCGGACCATGGCAGTGTCCAAGAGAGGCATCGATATTTGAAGCAAGTAAGTGTCACATGCAGTCTTCTGCGCAAAAGGATGGTGCAAAGCCAAGGTCCATGACGCACTTGGCCCTGCAATAGGGCCGTCAGCAACCATCAGCAGCTTTCTTCATCTTCAGACATACTTTCATCAGATTCCTTGCCACTACAGGGCACGTACTCCGAGGTCAAGCGTGGGAAGACCCATGTGGCAAGCCCTCCCAATGCTAGCAAGAGTCGTATCCAAGCGACTTCGAACCATCGTGATTCCGTGGACCGCTGTAAAGAATTCTGACCTCAACAAATGCTGCCTTTGCAACAGTCCAAGCTTTCAAGCCTCCTCATGCATTGCAGATGGACCAGCCATACGGTTAGGTCGACCGAAAAGCCCTCACACTCCAGAGCTCCTTAACATCAACCATCGTCAGCCTGATCCAGACCTGTCAACAAAAACTACAAGGAAAGCAAAGGCACCGCTTCCTGCGGTGCTCCTTCCCGTGCCTTCCTTGGCAAAAGTCGGTCGTGATCTGGAAATTGTTCAACGATATAATTTGTCATAGTTTTGGGAGTCTCGCATGGCATAAGGAACAAGTTTTCACACATTGTCATATTGTCACTGTCACCATGTGGGTACTATCTGTGAGGGCCGTGTTTCAAGTAAAAGTTTGTCGGGGAAGTGCTTTCTCAGCGAGTGAAGGGCATGATAGGAGCCTTTGCAATTGCATGCTTGCGAGGGCCGCAGCGGTGAACAGCCTAAGTGTCGTGCGACTAATGCTTAGCCCTTCCAAATTTTGGGAACACGAGCCCAGCTGGCCAGATATAATATATGTAGATATGTATATACAGTATACATATGTATCGTCTGAGGCGAGAAAATTTCTGCGATGTCACGAAGCGTCTCTTCAGGGTGATCTTGGCATTTCAAGCTTCCGAAAAGCCTGCAAGAAGTCCCACAGTATAAAACTAATCAGCACTTCAGCCAAAATGCGCGTCAGCTTCATCCAACGTGTTGCCGTTGTAGTATGGGATGCCTTATGACATTTTTGGCAGCTGGTCTTTACAAGGGTTTAAATCAAATGGCCTCAGCTTAGAGATCACAGCGATCAGGCCTGCAGCTGAATGCCGGACTAGGTTATACATGGGATATATAGGGGATATATTGGGAGAGTGGAAAAAATGGAAACTACTATCTGGGGTTTAGGCTTTCGAGGGGGATCTGTTTCGCTTCTGCCTGTGCATCAGACAGCTTTCCTGGTTTCGGTGTCTGTGGTCTGAGGATGTCTTGTACTTCACTTTGACAGGCGTCCGCCCGAGCTTGCATCCTAGATGGTAATGTGGAAGTTTCCTTAAATAGGGGGGCCCTACCGTAGACACCAAAATACTAAAATCCTTTGATTGGAATCCCAAAAAAGTAACCCTAATTTTGTGAAACCCTTGTATCTAGCCGGTCACAAAGCTGCACAAATCCCTTATCGACAAACAACCCACGGCTCGAGGCTGCTCTTTCCGATGTACCGAGAGGCTCGCGAAAGTGAGGAGCATAGCCAGAGCGGAAGTGGCAAACACCGTCCTCATTTGTAGAGATAGTCTGTGTGCTTGCCTAGCCCACAGGCTTGTGCTTGGAGACTTGTGCGGCTGTCTGAGAGCTCCTCTTTGCAGGTGCTTGTGTCGTGCAAAAACCTAACGCCCATGCATGCCTGCGACGGTGTTCCACCTTAAAAGGTCTCAAGCACTGGCAGCTTTCCAAGACTCCAGAAGATCCCCTTGGTGTTTCCCTTGTTGTTGAGCTCCTTAGTCTCCGCAATCTCCGTTCAAAAATGCCCAGGGCTCAAACAAGTCTCTTGCGTGCAAAGTATCAGTACAAGCAGTGCACCAAGCATGCCCTGCTTGAGATGAACGCTCCGTATGACCGTTTTGAAGTCAGGCCAGCGCTCGCAGGAGCTGCAGGTTCCCCATTTTTTTTTTGCCCTACTGCGCTTCATGAGGTCTACATGCAAGCTTGTCTGGGTTCTCCAGAAGTTTGCATCGGGCCAGGTTCGCCCGCCACGGTGGGGTGTCCCCCAATATGGAGCGCTTTCCCTTTTCCCTTCCCCGCACCTCGTCTGACGTGTGAAGTAAGCACGGTTCAAGGACAAGGCTTTGGGGGAGTTTCTGGGAGGGTGGCGCGTCAACCCCTTACTACTCCATGAGAGCCCAAGACGAGAAGCAAAGCCTCGTCAGCAAAATGCTCTGGAGGTACAAGGATTCAGGCTTTAGAGTCTTTTGGCTTTGGAGATGTCAGGTTAGCATGCACAAAGGCTGGTTGTGGCACGAAATGTCGAGCCCACGCCACAATTGACATAGGGATGTCTTATAATCCTGCGGTCTAAGGGACTGTTCGCCATCCAGCTGATGCATAGACGCGTGTTGCGAGACATGAGCTGGCTGACCAATCCCATCTTGGGGCCCATAGAGGGGGCTTTCAGTATTCACTCTTGCAGCTGAACAGCGCTTAAGACCCTCATGCAAGCGGCAGTCTGGAAGACTGCCTTTCGTTGACCCTCCCTAGCATCCGTCCTCGCCCCTGCAGCGGAACTCGTGATAGCGATAAAACTATGCCAAGGTGCAGAGAAAAAGTACGAGCCAACAGTAGCTCCCAGCTTTCCGAAGGCCGCACTGATGCCCGCACCAGTGCCGCGGACCATGCTGGGATAGATCCTTTCGCTGAGGAACAAATTCAGACTCCACACGAAAGCCATTGCTAGTGTTCAAGACAGAGATGAAGGCCGCCCAGCGACTCGGCAGAGATCGCCATTGTGGTGACCTTGTTGCTGCTGGTTGGGGGTTGGAATACAAGTACGACAAGGTTCCATCTGCCTGGCACATGCTTTGTTTCTGCAAAGCCACTTCTAAAATCGCGGTTTGTGCAACGTAAAATGCATTCCAAGATGCTCCCGGCAGGCTCTGGAAGGATAGCTGGACAATGTAGAATGTGAAGAACAGAACAGACATCTCTCGCAGCTCTTTGTAGGCAACCTTGTCGACAGCACAAAGTGATGAATCACAGTTGCCAAGGAAATGCTAGGCTCGAGAGGTTCTAAGGTTGCTAGACTTTCCCATCAGGCATTTCTTGGACTAAGGGTTTTTTTTCCGAGAAGCTGCCAAGACAAGATTGGCAATGGCGCATCCCAAGAAGCCGATGAACTGCACTCGCTTGCTGGAAGTCTGCGCGGGCAAGGCAAACACGCAAGCACACCAGACAGAACAAGGACACAATCTGCTCACACTTCGGGGAAGCGTTGCCCAGGCTTGCAAATTTCCGGCCGTGGTTAGCCCGCCAAGGCGGGTGAGAGCCACCCCAAGTGTCCCTTCTAAGTAGAAGACTTCAGAAGATGCATGGAGGTGAAATTGGTCCATATGGTCGCAGTTTCCGATTGCACTTTAGAAGCGCGATGTGTTGGGCGCGCTGCTCAGTCCTACCGCCTCCGCAGCATTTCATGAGAGTGGTGTTGTGCCTTCGTCAAGAACCAGGGGGCAAATATCAGCCTTGGCTACCCCAGTCTATGTTGCAGCACTGCAAAGTCTGTGGCATCACTGTCCGATGTCTTCTGGGAAGCGTTCAGAACTTTCAGGCCGAGTGGCGAGGGGATGACCAGGAGTCGGCTCCACAAGACCTGTTTTAAGTGAGGCCCCATGCTTTCATAGTTCGGCATATGCCCAAGTTGAAAAGCGGAAGCAAACAGAAGGCCTGAAGGATGCTGTCGGAGTATGGTCCTCCAGCATCTTTTTCGAAGATGGCGGCATCATTTTGCTTCAAACCTCTCAAGCAGCTGGAGGGACGTGCTGACTAGTTTTTACTGTGGCAAGGTTTGCGCTTGAGCATCCAAGTGCAACTTATCCTTCGAACGGAAAGCTGCGCACGGACATGCTGTGCACCAGCCCAAGGCGCCATATTCGACAACGTCGAACAAGAACCAGCAGCCAGCAGTACCCAGGATTGCCCTGTCAATGCTTGTCAAATTTTGGGTCATACAGTTCCCACGTTTTTTAAAGCTTCGTGCGACTGGATGGTAGTTTCTTTTTTCTGCCGATTGTTGTGTGGTGGTTCTCGTGCTGAATGTTGGGTATCTGCTGGCAAAAGCCTGAGCATTCGGTGCTTGCACACAGTGTGTCCTGCTGAAAGCTTGACCTGTCTAACTCAGCGCCTGCTCACCTCCTGGCACTGTGGACTCGTGGTGCGCTTCCCCAGCAGAGTGAACGACATCCCGCTTAGCCAGCGCATACGCTTCATGTGAGTCCAGCTGACTTGTCCAACGCTTGGACCCTTACAGCAATACATCTCGTTCCCAACGCTTGCTCTTCTGCCCCTGTAGATGAGAGCCCGTGCTAAAATGCGACACTCAGTCCTCCAATACGGAGACAAAATCGTCCACGTGCTGTCGTGATGCTTGTGCTCTGCCTGCATGAAGCCGCTGGATCCAGCAAGGTCATATGGCAGAGTGCTGATCATCGATACGGTCCCACAGTACGTACGTAATTATGACCCCAACCGCTTGATCTCCAGACATCTGCTACACAGGGAAAAGAGCACCATGCTTAAGATGCCAAAGCCTGCATGGGGCCATGGCACGCATTTTGCGTCGCATGCAAATCGCACCCAGCAAAAACATTCCAAACAGCCGCTGTGATTAATTCATACTATTTCAGGATCAGTAAGGGCGGGCGGTTGTCAATTTGCCGCCTCCTTGCTTTCCACGAACTTCTGGCTGTCCTGCAGCGTGCAGTGTTTCATCCAAGGGAAATCGCCTCCCTTGTCCACCCTAACCTCCAGCTGCACTCTAGCATGGCCCTAATTCCCTGTCCTTGGTGGTCAAGTATCTCAAAACCAGGCCCAAGGCCGACAGAATGACGCCAACTCCTGAGTCGCAGAAAGCTTGGGAGCGTTTTTGTGGTTCGATCGAGGCTTTTGCAAACAAACATGCTGTGGCGGGGAGGTGCGTGGATCACACCAGAGTCCTGGCACAGCCAAGCATATTTCACAGCATACCGATCCATTCGTTCCCCTTTGGCCATCCGGCCAACCCAAATGGTAAAGCCGTGCTGCCGCTCAAACAAAACTCGGGGCCACCGCGGGTGTTGTTGTTGTTGTTGTTGTTGTTGGCGCCGCTGCTGCTGCTACTGCTGCTGCTATTGTTGTCAGCAGCTGCTGCGGACACCGCCGCCCACACCCCTCACCAGCACTAGCATGAGACTGCTCGTCTTAGTATGTCTCAGTGCTAATAGGGGATTGATTGCATCTGCTGCCTGGATAACCACAGTCACAATGGCAAGAACATGCAAAAACTATGATTCTGAGAGTCATCTTCTGAAAGACAGCCAAGTTTCCGAAGATCCAACGCCAAAGCATCTCGTGGGGGACACCAGCAACCTCATCTGAACCCCCAAGCTTTGTCCAGGACCATCCCTGCGGAAGCTCACTGTGATGAGAAGAGACCCCAGCCAACAATTGAGCCATGAGTTTTGGAATATGACCTGCGTTGCGCTCTATTAATCTCAAGGCAGGCTGCCGGAGGCAAACTTCGCGCACCTATGCGCACCTCACAAAATGAGCTTAGCTTGGAACTGTACACGTTGCGGATGAGTGACGTCCATGGCGTATGTCACCATTGGGCACAGTGCTTGACCAAAGCCGCTTCCGAAGAGGTAGAGCAAGGCAACATTGCGAGCACCGTCGCCTGAATTCTTCTGTTTTCTGAAGCTCCCCAGCCCGGTATCACATGTTCTCAGCTTGCAGGCCTTAGCGCAATGAGCTACTGCAATGTGGGTGCAGGGAGGGCTTCTTGCAGGGTGCACCAGGAGATCATGATGCGATCACAATTCGCGCACACAGCTCCATGTCAGGCACCCACCTGTGGTCCTGTCGCTCAAAGAGCTCGAGCTGATGGCTCATAAGGGAAAATCATCAGTTGAGGTAGGACCAACCGGCAAAGACGGGTGTCTTCTTGCAGAAGGGCGGCTTGTCTTTTCTGAAGATTCAGCGGAATGCGATGAGGCCAGTGGATACTCACCGCCCATGCCAATTCCAGTGATGATGCCTGGCGAGGTCTGGAGCTGCGATTCAGGCGGGCGCCCGTCTTTCTCATTTTTTGGACCATTTCGAGGGGGCTGGGGTCGCAATCCTTGCAACTGTCATGGAGTTCTCTGGGCCCTCCCCTAGAATCTCTAATGCACCACCTCCAGATAGCGAAGTCTTGCGCCAACGCAAGAGCCTTGGTTGCCAAGCGACGGGCTGCGATGAGCGTATTCTCGCTCCAGGCTAAGGCGGAGAGAATAGCGCCTGAGCTTGCGAAGCACTGGGAAGAGAAGGCTCAGCCGTGCTTAAGCCTGACTCGGACTGTGCTGGTATGCGGCCATGCAAAACGACAGGCCGCAATACCCTTGATGTCCCATGACTTGTGACTGACTCCATGACAGGGCATATTCATGTTTGACCATGGCCCATGTGGACACTTCATGCTGATCAGTTCTCCTACCATGACAAGCGCTGCGCAAGACAGAGTCGCCCCAAGAAGACATGCTTGAGACAAGACTCCAGCCAACGTGATGAGGGAGCAGCCAATAAGCCCCATTCGGCGACCAATGTAGTCAGACGCTGGGCCTTGACTTGCCCAATTGCAGCAACAGAGGCTGGCACAAACAAGGCCACCTGTGAACCTGGAACTCCAAAAGATCAAACAAAAAGGGGCACAAGCTGCGGCAACTGTATCCCGGCCCGCTGTGCTGCCAATGCTGCCCATAACAAGCATGCCCACAATCGCCCCGCCGTACATAGCAGCTTTCACAAAGTCCTCCAGCAAGCAAGTCTGAGCCGCGTCAGCAATTGCAGCGAAGGTGAGCGCTCTGGAAGATGGACAGAGGCATGATTTTGCTCTGAATGCCATAGCAGTCGCGTGGTGAGTCATGTGTAAACTTGATGTATCTGAACTAATGCTTAGAGCAGATGAAGGATATTATCGGAAGGCAGGAAACACCGAGGCATCTCCGGAAGCTCAGGACTTCTGGCTTTGACAGATACCACATATCACCACCGGCCCACCATAAAAAAGGCACCTTTTGCGCATCGGTGGCATGGAAATCAAGCGCGTAGTGCTCAACAAAGTTCCTGGGTTGCTGTTGAGGAACACAAGTTGAATTACCATAATCAGGAAGACTCCAGATGTACTATATACCTGAGGTGGACCCCCAAACCAGTAATCGTGACTAAAAGGGATAATGGTTATTGTATTATTAAGGGGTGGGGGGTTCCACCCATTACATACCCATTGTTTGCTAAACCCTAAAACCCTGTCCCCTATACTGTACAACTTAACTAAAGTTAACATCAGCCCAGAGTTCGTGGCGCCGAGCATGTACTTGTCAGTAAGCAAGCCTGAAAGACGATTGAGGATGAGGCGTAAGGCTGAAGGTTTAGGATAGCTTTGTTCACTATGCCGAATGGAGGCTCTAGTGAGAAACGCTCCCAAAAGTTTATCTGCTTCTTGAATTTTCGTGTTTTAATCCACCCATATCCACCCAGCGACCCATGCCAGTCGCAACGGCACTGAGGACGCGCGCCATGGCTCGAAGCGTGAAAAAAAGCCTGATGCCCGTGACCTACCCTTGTTCTGCAGCAGGGCCAACTTTTGTCAAAAGCACAAGGTTCGCCACCAGTCCTCTCTGCCCAAATGTTGGCTATTCCGGATGTGCCTCTTCCTCTTCACTACTTCTGAATTGACAGAGCCAAGGAAAGAATGCATGGGCATTTTCTTGTGCTCTGTGTCAGCCAATACGCATCAGCCATTCCATGGATTTGCAACTGCTTTGAGGGAACATCTGCAAGCCCTTCATCGAAACAACTGCAGTGTCGGTCAGAGCTTTGACTTGATGCCCTGCCCCACCGCGAACCTTTTCCTCTTGCGTCTCAAGTATTTAAAGGAACTCAGCGGCTCATCAGGAAGTGAGCGCTCTCCAGCACTAATTAAAAAGAAGTTAAGAAAGTAATTGGACAAAACGGTGTGCTGCTATGCTGGCTGTGCAGGTGATCTTCTTCAATCACTTCACTTGCGCGTAACGCAACAAACGGTAAACCATGACGGTGGTGGATTGACTCCACACCAGTCTTCCCAAGTACGGACAAAATTCTGCAAGCCATCGCAGAAGTTGTCATCCCGCTTTTCAGCCGACTCGGTATAATGGGCCAGGTCAATGAGATGAACTGCCCACCTACCGCCCACCCGCATCTCTCTGGTGAAGAGGAGGCTGGCTGCTCTTAGCGTTCCTCCGAAGCCCTGCTCCGCTGCGGCGCTAATGGCTTTGAGCTGGGCGAGGATGTCGGTGGCTGCTTGCATATCGACCTCGCAACCTGCACAGGGTGTGCGAACATTCTCCCTGCAGAACAGCACCACTGGATGTGCATGCTTCTTGACCTCTGCTCTCTGGGCGGCACTGGCCAGCAGGACCTTTTGGCAAGGGTCCTGGCAGTTCGGGCACAAGTCTGGCCCGGAATGCTGAAGACGTGTTGTGCAGGTTACCTGTATCTTTACAAGCATTCCCACCCTCTTCCCATGCCAATCATTTGGCAAGGATCCGAAGCCAGGCGCTGAGGCCAGGAATGCGGGCAGAAGCCACTCCCCGAACTCGTGCGTCTTGAGGCTGAAGCGCGCCTGTTGCATTTCTTGCCATGAGTTCTGAGCGAGACTGCTGCTGCAATACTTTGCTGTTGCCCAGTCGTGCTGCGTTCTGGTTTTTGATCTCCACAATCCTGCAGAGCACCTAGGGCTTCGGACCACGAAGTTGCAAGGCCTTCAGGTTTGTGGAGTCCAACTGGAGATCGCCAGCCTTGCACGCTGAGGGTGCAGGTCAGCGGGCTGAGGGCTTTCACTCTACAAACGCCTGAGGACTTCTCCTCACAGGATATGCGGCCAGGTGCAAATCAGCGGCTTTGCAAGGTCTGGCTGTTTGGAATGTTCTGAAATGCAAGTAAAGCCTACCAGGCCAGAATCTGTGCGCCTTCATTCCAGCAACGCGAAAGCCGTCCATGGCACTGCTGGCAGAATAGATCTCATCAAACTTCTTTGACTCCTGGTCATACTCTGAAACGCATGAGGTAGACTCACTAGTGGGCTGTACTACGTTGTAAACCGTTCTCCTGTCAGGTTTGGTTATGCCGATCATGCTCCTGGCCTTCCTCATGCAGGCTTGCCTTGGTGAGTTGGCTATCCTCTACGGCTCTTGTCCAGCCCCTCTCGATCTCTTGATGCCACCTACGCATATGTCGCTGTCCTTCTCGATTTTGGCGGTGGCCGCGTTGTCCTCACCCAGCAACTGGCTGCTACTGTCTTCTTTCAGGTGCTGCAGGCCTGGGCTTTCTGACATGTGAGATGCAAGCATCCTCCCAAGTCTTTTTGCCGATCTTGATGTCCAATGTAGCAGTTGGCCCCCGCATGCCAAAGTAAGCACTGTTCAGCTCCATGTACTCCTCAAGTTCCCGGAGACAGCACACTTTTTGCCAGTCATCAGCTACAGGCCCGCTGCCCCCGCATGTAAACTGAATCCAGTTCTGAACTAGGATCTCAAGCCAAGAGGCCGCTTGTTCCACCTTTCTGGTGCCATGGAAGGTGCAGAGATAAGGTGCCAAAGGCGAACCTCGAGGCAGTAAAACGGGTTGCTCCAGCAGTTTCGCAATGACACACGGCTGCTTGTTTTCAAAACGGCCAGCAAACCCCGGTCACTCTGAACCACGTAACTGCCTGTTGCTTTGTTGCTCCTTTGTTGTGAATTATCTTGACACCTGGCTGGTCGACTTTATCACTGCGCCGTATGGGGTGGGCTGAGGCCGTCAAGGGCCTCTGAGAAACGTCTTGCGCCCATGCAACTCATTGCAAGTGGCAAGCTGGTAAGCAAAATGCACTTGCAGTAGTAGAGTTGCTCATGCCTGTCTGTGCGAAGCCTGAGTCTAGAGCAGACTCTTTCACCCAAACCTACCGTACACTGACACAAATTTGCACTGTTGTGGCCAGGTCTTGCTGTGACCATAGAGAGGCAGCAGCTGCAGTGCTCTCTAAGCCCACAAAGAGCGTTGTGACAAGAGTGACGGGAATCGCGGCCAGCATGCGCCAGCACTTTCACACATGCCAACCCTGAAAAGGCCCATCCCTGGAATCAGTCTTTTCAGATGCCATAGACGCCAAAAGGAAAGGTCACTGGGGCCTTCGGACACAACAGCCATGATACCTAGCCTAGCAAGTCTTGCATTCCGAAGAATGCTGCAGCTGAGCTTGGTCCAGTAAACTCAATCTAGGAACAAGAGAGGCTGCGATAAGCTGCGATCTCAGTGGAGTTCCTGCCAGGCGCAGCAGATCTGGAATGTTCATGCACGCTCTGGTACACTGTCTGGAAAAGTCTGCAGGGAAGAGGGAGGTGTTGCCACAGAGCCTGTGCACATCTGACGCCTCACACTCCTCATGCAAACCCTGCCTTGAAATACGACCAAGGCAACTGAATAAAACGCAGCCTGCATGTGCTGAGCACTGCTCAAAGATTAATTTTTCCAGTGCCCCCGAACCCCAGTACTTGAGAGGTTCCTCTTTTGCTCTCTCGGCTATCTACTTGAAAGCCCAAACAGGTTCCTACCATGGAAACTGCCCGAACCCTCTCGAAGGCCTCTCACCTTGATCCAAGGGCTTCAAGATGCGAGAACCTCGCGCATCGGTGATCGTGGATCAGCAGACTGGGCTGGGCTCAGACTCCGGCGGAGTGAAGCTAAGCTCTGCACCTTCTGCATTTGTCATCATCTCGGCATGTGCTCCCGCGGCTTTGCCACCGAGCACATGCCAGTCGTCACTCCTTACATGGCAGCCCTGAGAGGGGCGCAGGCACGCTGCCGGAATCCCAGCTCTTGACTAGCAGGAATTCCCCCGAAGTAAAAAGAAAAGTTTAAGTCAATCAAGGGCATCTTCGAATCACCTCTCCGATTTTGATTTTCAGAGCAGCCAAGAACCTGTGTCCTTATACAAAATTTCGAACAAACAATGACCCTGAAAAAGCTGTCGAGGTTGCATAAACTTGACAGGAGATCTTCTCAGGCAAGCTTCACAAGCGCTAGCTCAGAGAGCAACGTTGAATTTCTAACGAGTTGAGGTGGCGGTTTCCAAAAATGTGACGAGACATCTTCTCAAGCAAGCTCAATAAGCGGGAGCTCGGCAAGCAATGTTTGGGCTTTGAATCCGTAAGCGAGTTTACTAAGCAAGTCAGGCTTTAGAATCAGTTTTTCTAGTCTCATTTTCAGCCCAATAGGTGAGCCTCCCTACAATTAGCCCTTAAACCTTTTCAATCCAAGCTCCTGATTGAGTAAAACCTTCCACCTGTTTTGGGGTTAGACAGTTTTTTTCCTCAGTCCCAGGGTTTTTTCAAAGCGCACTGCCGTAAGCGTGCTCTTGCACCGCAAATCTAAACCAAGCCATCTCTAGGTCTAGACCAAAGCATTCAACGCTAGGGTCCATTAATCAGGAGCTTGGATTAGATTCGACGAGGCTCGCATTCCTTGGGCTGGAGCGTGGGGTCCCAAGCATGGCTCTTGGCTCTTGACCCTATCTACTTGAAGGATTGCTGAAGTTCAGGGGCCTAGAATTAAAGATCTTGAGGGTGATGCTTTGCAGCTACCAGCGGCTTATGGTAGAATGGACATTCTGTTGCCACACGTGCTATTGGCTGCCATCGCTTCGCATACTTTGCTGGCTTTCCTGTGCTCACCGTAAAGGCTCATGTACTAGGAGGATTCTTGCGCTTCTGCCTGGTCTGAACCTTGAACAACCGCCTCTGCTTTGTGGTTTTGAATTCAGCCTCCGTGCCGGAGTTTGTAGCTGCCAAGTTACTACTGTGCCATCTCTTGCGCAGGTCCATTTTTGCCTCGCCGCAATTTCCACGTTTCCAACCACTTTGCTCGCGGCGGATTTGCCCAGACACACAAGCAGGGGCTCCTCAAGCCCTACGAGTATTGACATCCAGGACTGCCTACCCATGACTTTGGATCTGCAAGGAGGAACTTGAAGTCTCTGCGATGCAATGTTTCATGAAAAAATACGAAGGGTTCCTTCCTTGGCATCATGGAGGCAAAGCTTAGCTTCGCGCGCCCCAACCAAGGACTCTTTAGTAGTGGAAGTTGTGACGCATGCAATTCGCCGAGTTTCAAACAGAAGTATCTGGTAGCTTGGGGCTGCGCACTGCCAAGGTCTACGATTGGCTGTCCCTGCTCCGTGAAGAAGACGGTTTGCTTCTACCACAGGTCAGCAGCGGCACAATGCACACACGGTGTAACCTTGGGCTGAGTTCTTGGACGACTACAATGCTTCCCTTGAAGAAGGGCCAGTGCAGGGCATTGCCACCTCTTGTCTTGCGACTTCAAGCGACACATGGAAGAGCATGTTTTTACCATGATGTGCAAGCAACAGTCTGAGGCGTCTCCGTCACGACATGTCCAGCACGAATTCTGGAGGCTTGTGGCAGCGATGACCACCATGACTGCTGCCAACCGGCAGTACCCATAACAACAAGAAGCAACAAACAAACAACGTTGACAGCTACCACGACGCCTGGTCGGCGACTAGTGGCGCGCAGGACTATGACAGAAGCATCAGCTACTCATGCACCATTGCTATCAAGGTCAGCAACCCCGAAGCCCAAACGGCATTGCATTGATCACCACCCTCCCCCACCGCTTCTGCCGCCAGGACCACAATCATGACCACAACCACCACTGCCGCCACCTCCTCCACCACTATCACTACTATCACCACTACCACCACCACCACCGCCGCCACCGCCGCCACCACCACCCAAACAAACGCCACGGCCGCTGCCACTCACATGGGAGGTGAAGACGAATCATCTTTTTGACAAGCAGCTGAATCGACAGGACTTTTGGCTGTAAGGGCTTGCTGTAGAAATGCTGACCATGCATCTTTACAAAAGGAAGCACCGCGAACCCAAGCGTGGCTATCACCGTGATGACGATCACAACAGGATCATGGCAACTGCTTAACAAAACCTGGCATCCACGACCAACCACCGCCACGGAAACCACACGCAAGATTATCACTATCAGTATCATAACAAAACTGGTATAATCACACGTCTGGGTTTGCTAAGGCTCATGCCCAAAGATGTTGCAATAGTTGAATGGCAGCCTGAGGATCGTGATGCGGGACGTGCAGCACGCTTGCCCTTGATAGCCCAGAGCCAGCAGCCATATTCTTGAAATGCTGCGCCAGTCCCTGTAGTTTCTCAGGGTCACGCGGTAGCAGACAGGGGATTCGATCCGTGCACGTTTGGAGCGGCCATCCTGAAGACTGGTGTCAGTGCCATCTTGTTTGTGGGTTTGAGACGTCCGCTGCAGTTCAGGGATTTGGGAGTGACCCTTGCAAAGGCTCTCTGACCAACGTCAGCTACAGCTAGGACCGCAGACGTTCTTATGCTTCGGCGTGGTGTGAACATCTACTTGGGTTCCACCGCATCATGATCATGGGGCAGGGGAGCTTCAGAAAGGCTTCTGTAAGCCCTGATGCTAGTCTTGATCAACTTGCATAGGGTTTCCCACACGTGGGGGTCCCTCTTCAGGAGCGCCATGGCAAGGATGGTTGGCGCAAATAGGAAGGACCCCTGATGCAGCAATGCATTCCTCAAACCTCACCTTGGCTGGCATCGTGTGGCACAAAGCAAAGAGACATCAAGGCCCACTCATGAAAACAGCATCGTAAATAGAATGAGCTTGCACGACTTCAACTGCCTTCGGGCCACAAATCTAAACTGAAATCTTCAGTGACTCCACTCCCCCTAAGCTGCGGACCTCAGCACTTTCCTTGGCACGCACATGTGTCAGGTGAGGGCCTCGTTACGGGAATCTACATTCAAGGAATCCCAAGCACTGCAATTTGTACTGGGTCTGGTGGCACAAATGGGAGGTAGGCATGTTGCCATAGGATCTTCCAACTCGTGTTCCCCCCACCTCAGAACCTGGCACCTTCGGACCATCTCCCAAGTCGGCAAGACGAAACAAAGCAGCTGAGCTGGTGCATTCTGAGGGCTCGACGTGCTTGAAATTCATACGTTAGGTTCCCGAAATAACGGGACCCCAACACAGACCCTTATGGGAACCTCTCAAAAGGTACCCATAATCTTTGGAACCCACCATACTTCCGTATGCTTCTGAAGCCCGGGCTGCTGCCTTAGAACTGCTCTTGAAAAAGCTGCCAGCCTGGCAAGTAATTTGAACACCTTGTCACCAAGTACCTGTACATTGTTGACCCAGCATTTCGCAGCAAAAATCTCTTCATCCCATCCCTTGAAAACTCGTTGTCCAGCCACCCCTGCTCCATGTTTTCCTCGGCGGTGGTGATAGTTGTGTCTGGCTCCCGTCAAGGCATCGCGGAGCAAGTTCGGATAGGTTGGGACCCCTGCAGCTACAGCTGCTTGTCTGGACATTCAAGGTGCTGCACAAGTGTCGAACCCATACTGAGTGAGTTCTTTGAGATTACTGCTTGCAGGAAAGTGAGTTGACAGATTTTACAGACATGTCTGTTGTCCAGCCTTGGGGTCCCAAACCCGGTATTCTGAATCTTCAGAACTAGGCCGATGATGTCCGCGAGTGTCGTTGCGGTTGGGGATCAGGTGTTTTCTGGGGCTTTGAGCTTTGCGTTCTGAAGTGATCTAACCACTCCTTAGGGTTGGAGGATGGTGGGTCTGAATGCATGCTGCGCACGGACTTCTTCGGGGTGCGACTTATGATCGCTGTGGCGTGCAACAGAAAAATGAAATGACTGAGGAGTAAGATGTAAAGTTCATGGATGGCGGTCTGCTTCAACATGTCCCGACTTTGGGCAAAGTAGTGTTGCAATTTGCCAGCTCTACGCGTGCCCTCACATCAGTCCGGCCCCGGCGCATTTTGCGAGTGCCTCTTCCGTCAAATATCTGGCAGCAGCGATGGCATCTGCCTCAGCGCGATTTAGCTCTCACACCTGTCACAGCATGTGTAGCCACCATGCGTCCCTCTGCAGCAAATACAGGACCTGCTTGCCAAAACGGAAGGTCACTACGCATGACCGTGCCAACTGTTCAGCATTCTGCGGAGAGCTTCCCAGCCAGACTGGGACAGCCATGATACTTCACAATAATCCAAACTCCCCCCCCAGCGCGCACATCATCACAAGTATGTTGCCTCCTCGCCAGGAGCAATGACGGGAGGGTTGAGGAGGATGCGGACAGCCTCTTCCGCATCCTGGCACACGCTGGTGGAAAAGGCTTCTGACCTTCACACAATAGTAAGGAAAGTGCGACAACAGGCGCTGAGAAATCAAGCTTGGAAAATGCAAGCGAAATGATCGCTCGCCTAGTCAGAGCAAGAGAACAAGTCTGGCTAGCCTGAATGCTAGCGGCTGCTAGCGCGATCACATGCGATCACTTCTTGCTCTAGATTCTAGATTATAAAACTAACACCAGCATTGCCGAAATGGACTTCACAGTGTCTGACCATAAGGCATCGACTCCTTCGTCAAAGTGTACGGCATCCCAGCTGTGAGGCTGCATATGGCTCTATACTGTCTATACTATGCGCTTGAGGATGTATGGCGACCTCATGCTCCATAGACGAAGAAGTGTTGGAGAGGCACCAGAAGTGCCCAGATACAGCTACTGCTGCTAGCTTCTCACCTGCGTGTGACAAACTTCAGTGGCGCGAGCAGTCTGTCCTTCTCTGTTATGCAGTACTTCGGGTTCGTGAGGACTGTTCGGTGCCTGCAACCAGTCAGGCCACGTCCAAGCTGATGTGGTCTGCAGTTGCAAATCAAGGAACTTCAGCCGGAACAGCTAATCACAGATAATCCAAGCCTACGGGGTGTACATTGATAGTGTGGCAGAATGACGTAACTACGCTGACCGTAGCAACATGTGTCCAGGGTCCGCACTTCATCAGCGGTGTTCCCGACACCTTGACACTGTCAGCCCAGCTAAAGTCGATATCATCGATCGCCACCCAAGCCTTGCAGGGACGTGCTGTTGAACACTTCCACGACCCCAAGAGCCGACTGCCAGCATCAACAAATTAACAAATGTATGAAATGGAATCCTGAGGAAAGTACGGGGGACGGGACGGTTGTGGCGTGTGGAAAAGCATGGTTTGCTGGTCAGTTAGGTGCAAACTCAGTTTTTGAGCTCTATGTAGGTCCCCTTCTAAAATTCATGCTGTTTTAAGGGCAGGGGTAGACTATTGCCACCCCCATGAACTACGAATAACTGATGAGCATTTCCAGTGCTGTAATGGTATAAGTTGAGCTTAGGCATTAGGGTTTGGGTAGTCTAGGGCTCGGGGCTGGTCTAGGTTACAAAACCTATATATCCTCTATATAACCCCTATAGGGTCCAGGGTTTGGGATGGGACTCCTATGGGCCCATAGTTGGCACAACTGATGCGCATTGCTTAAGGCCAGCATATCTCATTGTGAAAGTCGCATGTAATTGCTGTGATTTCTTACTAAACACGCTGTACCTGCAGATCTGAATCTCTCAAGTCTTGGGCTTCTTTATACATATATGTCCCTAATGTATAATATTATCATGGTCTCCAATACATGCGATGTTCTGATTAGTTGCTAATTCCT